CAAACATACACCTCACAAAGGGTTGGCAGATCTTCCACTTGACAGTTAAGTATCATTGTATTTTCTCCAACTATGAAAAAAGATAATCAGGCTATCTCGAGCCACCATAAAGACCACAAAGTGCTGGGATGTATAAATTGTTGCATGTTGGATGCTGAATGCCAAGGTCAAGTTACTCAGGGGTTGCATGTTTTGCTGTCATCAGAAGGTGCATCTTTTATTGAGTTAACACATCTCATCTTTTCTAATCAGTTTATGATTTTTAAAGCACTACACATTAATTTTACTGCCAAAGATTGTGTTTCTTGTTATTATTTTTAAGTTCTTTCATTCTTCTCTGTCAGCAGCTGCAACTGAAATGCCAAGATGCCTTTGTCCAGAAAGAATTCCCTGGGTACAAAATGGGGAAAACACACTTGCAATGTAAGGGAAAACTTGTTTAGTTGGAGTCTTATCTTGGTGCCCCGCTGCCCTTTTTAAACAAATGTATTGGATTTTTGCACTTTATTGCTGCTTCACAGCCCAATATCTAAAATAGACTTCTCTAATTTTGTGTGTTTACTTAACAAACGATCCCATATTGTCTTTAACAGGGAAGGTTGTTAACCTGGATTACTGTGCACAGATAGAACATCACATGTGAAGAACTCACGGCTCTCATTTTAACATCCTTTCCCCCCCTGCTTCCAGCAGGTTCATGAATCATGAGCTGGGCTGTGAGCACAGAGTGGCAAATAAAATTTAGCCTGCTCTTGGTAAGTCACATGCGTTTCTGAAATGTGCTGCTCTGATTGAACAAGACCTTCCTGGGGAAATGACTGGCTCAGAATATTCCCACTGGAAATACCACTCTAGAATATTGCATGTAATTGTATTGCCAAGTTTACCAGTTGAAGTTGCCAGCTGTTGCCCTTTTGTCCACTTGATTTTTGGTCTGCCCTAATTTATTATCATAATTATGTGATTATTAGAGACTGGCTTTTATCAGAAACATCCAGCCCTGGCAGAGCTAGAAATAGTTGGGTTTTCAGAAACAGTAGTTTCAAGGAGGAGGAAAGCTACAAACGTTTACATCCCATAGAGGGAAGATCGCCTCTTTGTGACCCACACCTTGCAGAGAAGACTCACATGTAGCCATAAAAGGCCCTAGAACTCATTAAAAGACAAAGCTTCTTAGAGTGGTTTACCTCTTCAGTCCAGAGGGTGGGTGAAAGTATGCATACATACAAAGTGGAATTCTTTCAGCTCTTCGTGTCCTAGGCTTCGTTCAGTGTCCCTGGTCCCTTCTCCTCTCCTGTTCAGGTTCACCTGTGCTGTTCCCAAGGGTCTTGGAATCACTGACTTCTCACATCTTGCTTTCGTTCCGATTTTAAATGAGGCACTTCTTGCCCCTAAAGGAATCCAGTTCTGTGCTTTAGGGTAGTCCAAAAGTTTCTCCAGGCTTTCTGAAAGCTTCCATGTCTAAGGTCTTTTTTCTCTCTTGGGAGATGTGAAAAGAACAAATACAGGCAGAACTAGAAGTGTCCTCTTTGTCTTTAGTAATTTAGATTCAAACTTCAGTGTCCTCACCATTTTTCATAAAGAATTCACTTGCCTTCATAACCTTAGTGATGACTGGGAGCTCCAGGGAGGAAGGGCGCATGTTAGCAGGCGTGGCTTTCCGCCAGCCCTTCGGCCCCGCTCTGCCTTCCCCATCTTCTGGGACAAATTCTTCCCCCTTACTTGAGCATTTTCTCTACCTTCTATAACTTCTCTTTTAGTTTTACCACTTAAACCGAACAGGTTGGTGAAATCACTTTCAATAAATATTTCCAGACAAATACAAAGCTTTTCCTGAAGAATTATAGTGAACTGTTTTTAAAATTTTAAATAGTCAAAAAAATTCATTATATTTGGAAGGTTATATCTCTCCAGACCTCCCTGTGGAGGTCTACTTCCCTTTCTCCAAGTTTGCTTTGACTCAAACATTTTCTATTTTTTGACATTAGTTGGGCTAGAGATAATCAGAAGACAGTGGAAGTAGAAATATTCACTTTTTTTTACTTTTATGTATATATAAAGTATTAGAAGATAGGCACAGTTAGTTCAAAAGCAAAGAATTGAGAAAAACACTTTACCAAGTCTGCTCACTCATTTAATATTGCCTAGTTATGGTTAATGCTTATAGGTTAGTTAGAATCCAAAATAATCTCTCTAGAACATAATTCCTTTGTTACATAACTGTCGAAATTCCAGAAGAGGTGGCTTAATTTTTATTTTTATTTTACTGAGTATTCAAAATCATAACATGCTGGAGTTGAAAATGGTGGATCTTACATTAGATCTTAAAATCTTCATGTCAAACACTCTCACTTTATAGATGAGAGACTCGGAGACGGTGATGTGCCCCAGGCCACACAGCCAATCCATGGCAGTGTCACGGTCTGGACCCTTGGTGTCCTGATTGTCAGGCCATTTCTTCACCTACGCCATGCTGCTGTTCCTGGCCAGCGACAGTGATCTGGGGCAGTGACTACTCAGTTTATTTCTCCAAATGGAATAGAGTACAATTCATACATGTTTTAAAAATAGCCAGAATTAGATTAATACAAGGTATATTAGTATATGGAACATAGTTAATCCGTGGTATATGATTAATCCATGGTGTTTAATATGTGGGGATGATACTGAAGACCCAGCTTCTTACAGCCCAATAGCTAAATAACCCTGAGCAGGGTGAGGGGCAATGTCTTTAGCTCTGAAAAACGGATTAAAAGGACATGACCTTAACCCTCGTCTTGGGTTTAGAACTGCACAAACTGGTGTCTCAGTCTTTATGTTCAGCCGCTCACTTATGTGATAACGGGCAAATCACTTGTATACTCAAGCCTGCCTTTCCTCAACTGCAAACAGGGATCATGGTTCCTTTCTTTCAGGATTTGGTTCTTCCCTAAAAACATATGTATGAAGGACCCTTCCTTGAACAGGAAGTGCACTGGATGATTTTTGGTTTCCCTCCGTACTCTCACTTGTCATTGTAATTTTATTCGAACTACTAACCTCATATTAGCACATCCATTTCCTAAATATTTTTTTCAAAATAAAACTATTTATACTTTTGTCCCCCTCTGGGAACAGTAGTAATACTTAAATACTACCTTGGAAACATAGTAATTCTTTCTTCTGTTTTAAAAAAAGAATTTGTAAAGAATTGCCACACGGTCTTGAAGAATAAGGAAAGTTAGAGGATGAATGACTATTTTCTGGGAAACAGGTAAAGCATATTTGGTAGATTGATTCTCCATTCACCTTCTCAGAGGAAAAGGACAAAACTCTCATTCACCAAGAATCTAAAGAGATTTTCAGGCAAGTCCCCAGCTAGCCCCACATCAGTCTTTGCTCGAAGGCGCTCATTCCCTAGAGCTTGGCTTTCCAGACCAGGTCCCAAACCTTTTATCGAGCTGCCCGCAGGCTGGAGGATACAATCAGCTCCTTTCACTATCTTTCACATGCCTAGTGACACTCAGGAGAGGGATGGCGTATGTGCTTATCAGGGAATCAATCTTTCTGCCTATCATCCTCTTTTTCTTCATAAGACAACGAGTTAGCACAATTACCTCATCCAGAACAATTACCTCACCTTAAACTGTTTGTTCTCCAGAGAAAGGTGTTTGGGAGCAGGTAGCACTTTGGCAAGAGATGCTTTTTTTTTTTTTTAACTATCAATACTAAGTGTGGACGGTGGGGAACTGTTGGGAAGGTTGTCTTTTTTTTTCAAATCTGGACTTCATTTTCTTTTGGGGTCAGCCAGGCAAAAGAGGACACATTCTCTGACCAGGTTTCCGGCACCATTTAGGGGCTCAATACTGTGAGGATAATGCTGTGCTCCGACTCTGGAGTTTTGGACTCAGGGTCAAGTCCCCCGGTGTCTCTTTTACTCCTGCAGAGGGAAGAATGAGAGGCAGCCATGAGGTCCTTTCAAAAGCAGTTGAAGATTCAACTGTTTATTCAAAACAAACCACACTTTTAAGGAAAATCTTTCCTTGTTACAGAGGCACAGCACGACTCTCCTTTCCCTGATATTTAGAGGAAAGGCAATTCCCAGGGCCCCGATTAAAACAAACAAGAACAGGAGCCAGCAGAAAGCAGCGAGCTTTCCTAAAAGTTGGGGGATTCCGGAGCCACAGACGAGGGCATTCGGAGAAAGAATATCTTTCCTTGTTACAGAGGCACAGCACGACTCTCCTTTCCCTGATATTTAGAGGAAAGGCAATTCCCAGGGCCCCGATTAAAACAAACAAGAACAGGAGCCAGCAGAAAGCAGCGAGCTTTCCTAAAAGTTGGGGGATTCCGGAGCCACAGACGAGGGCATTCGGAGAAAGAAAGTAAACATAAAAATCAATCACATACCCCTTTTAATGCACCCCTGACTGTAATTTTCCACTTATTTTTTTCATTTGCGTGCATGTTTGGCGTAGCTGCACTAATGGGTTTATTCTAGCGTTATTTTTCCCCACTTGGCATTTAAGTCCTTTTTCTTCTTTTCCCTTTGGATTTTTCAGAAGTGATGTCTGATACGTTAAAACAAATTGGAAGCAGGAGACGCAGGACTGTGAAAGGGCTCGAAGTTAACAGAACTGAGGTTTCTTGGGAGCAGCACGCTGCTGAGTGAGGCTCCGAGATGTGCACGTCTTCCGGCGCCGGGTTTGCCTCCACGAGGCCCGCGGCGGGGATCCCGGCCTCAGGCGTGTGCGCGTCCCCCCGCGCCGGGCTCGGGGGTCCGCTGCCTTCCGCCCGGGCGCGCTCTTCGCCGAGAGCGGAGGAACCTGCGGCCGCCGCGGGCTCACCTGCGCCTGCCCTCCTCCCGCCCCGCGCGCCCGGCCGCCGCGCCCCGCCCCAGCCCGGCTCATTGGCTGCCGCGCGGAGGGGCGGAGAAGGGGCGGCCGCGGGGGTCTCATTAGCGATGCGGCCTCGCTCCTCCGCCCGGTAGTCCGGGCCCGGCTGCGGCGGGAGCGCTGGTGGTGGCGGCGGCGGCGCTGCGAGCGACTCCGGCGGCGGCGTGGCGGCAGCGGTCACCCCGCCGTGCGGGGCTATGGGGGCGCGTGCCGCCTGTGGGTGCCCGGCCAGCGGCGGCGCCGAGCGCCCTGCCCCGCTGCCGTAGGGAGCCCCGCGGAGCAGACCACCCACGGAAGCCCCCCGGGACCTGCTCGTCTCGGCCCCTGGCCCGCCGAGCCTTCCCCGGGCGTGGGAGAGGCGCTGTCCTCCCGCGCGGGCGAGGAGCATGGGGAGAGCGGCCGCCGCAGGAGGAGGCGCCGGAGGGGCGCGCCGCTGGCTCCCCTGGCTGGGGCTCTGCCTCTGGGCGGCGGGAGCTGCGGCTGCCCGAGGTAAGCGCTGGGATGGTGGCGGGCGGCGGGGCCGGGGTTCAGGTGAGCGAGCGCCAGCCCGAGAAGCGGGACCCGCACCCGTGGCTCCCCAAGTTGCGCCCTGCACCTCTCCGCGGGCGGAGCCCGGCAGGGTGGGAATAGGGCGGAGGACCTCCGAGGGGACCACTGGCTCCCACCCCAAGTTTGTGATCCGCCGCGATCCTACAGGTTGCCGTGCCGGGGCCCCGACCCTTTACTCCCATTGCGTGCTCCATTTCCCAAGACCTCCCCAATTGCTGCAGACTAGAATACCCACCTCTGCACCCCAGCCTCGGTCTTCCTTACCCTGTCCACTTTTTAAAAGGCGTGAGATCGTTCCTGGGTGGGCGTCCATCGTGGTGTGCGATAGTTGATGGGAGTCTCTGTAGGGTGGACTTGAATAGAGGGGGCGCCTTTTCCCTTCGGGGAGCAACACCCAAGCTGAAGTCCGCGGAGCTTGACATCCTTCGGGCGACACTAACCCGGAGTCCGAGGCAGCCCTGCTCTGGCTTTCCCGAGCAGGCCGCGTGCGCGCAGGGGCGAGCTGCGTGCACCACCGCGTTCGGCCGCGCCCGCCGCGCCCCTCCGGGGTAAGCAGTTGGCCCAAGGCCGCTCACCCGGTGCCCCTTCTCCCTCCCACCCACAGCCCGCTCCAGCCAGGGAGCTAGTGAGCGCGGGGCTCCACTGGGGAGCTGGGAACCCGCTGCTTCTTTCCGACTTTGAAACGTAAACCTTATTTTCCTGCATCCTATGGACTCCAGCAGAGTGAAATTTTGCAACTGGTTTCAGCTCCACCTTGAGTGAGGGCCGGTAGCATCAACTTAAAGATAAATCCCACCGACTTGTTTTGAAGATGATCAGAGGCAATTTCAGGTCTATCTTGAGCATTGTGGCTTTACCTTTGAAATAATGCGGAAGCTTCTCTTTCCCGCCCTCTTCTACCGCTCTCTCTCTCTCTCTCTCTCTGCATGCCATCCATTAGACTTAGAATATATAATTGTTCTAAATGATTCACCTGATGCTTGTTTGGCAAGAGGTGAAACTGATCTGACCATCTCTCTTCTGCCCTGCTGGCTATCCCGAACACATTCTGGGTAGCAGGGAGGCAGGAAAAGGCGAAAGGGTTGAGGACGTTCACAAAAGAGCCAATATAATCTCATTTATAATATAAAAGCTAACGGTGTGTTAAAAGCAATTGAGCTGCCTGGAAGGAAGAATTAAAAAAAAAAAGGCGGATAGAGGCTTTACGTTTTCTGATCCTGTTCACTGACTATTTGCATTTCATTTCCTGAAAAGTTTTTTTTTTCTTTTATGGATCAGGCCTTTTAAAAAGCAGGAAAGGTCTAAAAATGAGGTTCCGTGATTGTACACACTGGGTTGTGGTGAAGCATAGTTCTTTCCCTTGCTGCAAGAAGCACAGGCTTCAGCCATTTCACTTACTACGGAGAATGCCTTCTTTCAAAGTCAACTCTGTTGTTTTTAATACACTGTTATGGGGAAAAGAAGGCCTTTTCTTTCCTAAATGTTGATCTGAATGTCTGAGTTTCCACTTGCTGTTCAGTGCGGAATGACTGACTCCATGGACTGACCTCTTGGAATTTGGGTGGTGGAGTTGTCCTGCAGCCAGCACCCAGCAAGAGGGGGGACCTGCCAAAAGCTTGGATGGAGTTTTTCTGGCTGTGAAACTAAGGCTAGCACCTCTTGTCTGCAAGCTGTTCTTTAAAGGTCTCCTGGAAAACAAACTGTACACTCTGCAGGCTTATTTACAACAAACGTCTTGCACAGATCATAGTAATGTTCACGGCACATGGAGTGGAGCAGTAAATCTGACTAATATTTCCCTCGTAATATTTTACTTTCTGGGGCATGAAGCCCATTACCCTTCCGGTTTGTCAGAGATTCCTCCAGTGATGAGCAGTAAGCAGGCCCTGAAACCTATGAAAGCCTCAGGCACCTGGTTTGGCCAGGTGGGTACAGTTGGGGTTTTCAGAACAAAGGGTGTATTTCAATGATACTTTGCCCTAAAGAATCTCCTTAATTAAAAGCAAGGTGAGGTGTGTACTCTCCTGGCATGCTTGCTGAGGGGTCTCACCAGACTCTGTAAGGCTGGCCCTAGGTTGTTCTTATTTATTCAAGTAAATAGCTTTTGTTCTGCAAGCCTTCCATGTTGATTGGAAACAATATATTCTGCTGTCTGTAAGCAACAGGATACATAGAATTATGCCATTTGCTTTAATGATATGAGAGTAATGATTCAGTAGCATTTTCTTTACAATTATATATCCTTTGTTTTCAAGATGATTGTGCCAACTTTTTTTTCTCTCTATCCATACTTAATGTAAAACTCTCTGTAAATCAGAGGGAGAGTTCAGAGGATTGGCTTTGAGTGTACTGAGAGAAGAAGCCCCCTGGGGCAAAGGACTGCCTGCAGAAAGTAGTGGTGGCCCCGGAGCTATGTTCTGGTTCCCTCCCAATGTGAGCAAGACTTTATCTAAAGAATTAACGTTCCTGACTGTGGCATACTGTAAGGAAGGCACTTTGGTGCCATGATTACTGTGTATGTTAACACTTTCCAACTTAAAAGAAGGTTGTTTAAAAGTTATTCTTGACCTGCCAAGTGCTAATTGAATCCACATCATGTTGTCATACTGATTGGTTTTTGTTCTTTGAAGAAAAGGAGCACTGCTGTTGATGGGGTTGTGATTCCTGTATTCGATACTGTACGTGAGATAGTCTGGTCTAAAGGCAGGCAGGCTGGATGAGCTTCCACCCAACTCCTTAATTTTAACAAACTTTCTAGACAGTGAAATCTGCCTTAAAATAACTGGAGGAATGCATGAAGGGAAAAGAAGTACAAATTTATTTTATAGGCACAATAGGATCATGTGCTTTATGCATACTTAAGTCCACTTGTCTGTTTAGTTCACCTAGTTTTAAATCTATAGTCATTTCCTACTTAATGAAGCATATTAGCTGCACCCTTTCTCATTCTGTTCATTTTCCTCAAAACCTGGTGGCCCTTCAGAGGGCAACAAGAAAAGAGCTTTTTCTCTCGATTTCTTGCAGGAATCGTCTTTTTCTGACTCTCTGCTTGTGCTCTTAGCTGAGGGTCCAGCGGCACTTCCTTTTCTTACCTGGCAAAGTGTTCTGCTCAAGAAAGCTCTCCAGCATCCCAGTTCTTCAGAGGATTCGCTTGTTCTGACCTGGCCCTATAATGCCAGAACTCTTCAACCTTCCTCATAACCTCACTTATGAAAATAGTACAGTATCCCCCTGTGCCAGTCCTTCCTCACTGCTGGACTCACCCATCTGCGGCTCTGAGGTTCTCGTAAGTGGTACCACACATGGTGGGAAAACCTGGGGAGCCCCAGGAATGCTGTGTGACCGAACCAGTTAGGTAGATCTGCTCCCTGCTGGCTTATCAGTGAGGGAGGCACTTTTCTGTCTGTGGCTTCAGTGACTTGTGAACCTGTTAGCATCCCCCTGCTCCCAGGTATGGTATTGTCAACTTCAAAGGCTTATCAAGGGATGGTTGGTCAGGAGAGAGGGAATATTTGACACCATTCCCTTGCACCTTTTTTAAAAATATGGAGGTGAGATTCAAACCCCATGTATTGAAATCGAATCCCAAAGCCAGGTGCACAGAGAGAGATGCACTCCATAATATTCTCTGAAGAAAGGCTGCGGTGGTACAGGGTGTTGTCCTCTTAATGGACAGGCATTTGTGCTCTCAGCCCAGATGTGCCTGCTTCTTGATTGCACATTTGTCCTTAACCCTGATTGCCTCATATACTCCAGGCAGTGCCACTTGACCTGCCACATCATATTTTTCTCCTCTGCCCCCCTTATTCTGATGCTTTCATGAGCTAACAGCACGTTCAGCAGGAGCTTCCTCTGTCCTTCACAGCCTGGTGCTCTAGGTAAAGACCCTATCAGCTCATAGCTTCTCTCAAGTTGCCATCATTGGCTTGGGAAGCACCATCATGTTATTATCAGTCTTTATATGATGCCTATTCCTTAAGAGAAGGCAGTTTGCACTCTACGAAATAGTAAGAGTAAATATTGTATTTAGTGTGTGTCATTGATTATTTTAAATGCTTTACATATGCGGACTTATTTAATCCTTAAATTTAGGAGGTAAGTAATCTTTACAATTAGCAAAGAAAGATATAGAAAGATTAAAGAACTTGCTCAAGGCCACGAAGGAGTTAGAATATGGAGGGGCCTGGGTTTGAATTGACGCAGTCCAACTTCAGAGCCTACAACAAGGACGGTTTTCTAAGCTACACTGAGAAGAAAATAATCCTTTTATTTTGATGACAAAAGTACTAAAATGATATCTCTATAACTAGGAGCATTGTAGAGGAATTTAGAGTAGCTTAAATAAGTCTATAAATATATTCAGATAAATCTCAGAGATTTATGTTGTATGAAAACAACCACCCTCTCACCATTCAGCTTGATACGCTTTGGGATTGGATTCCCACTTAAAATTCTAAATGCCAGTTTCTAATATGATGGCTTGCTTTTTTTTTTTCTTCCAATTTTGAATTTCAACAGAAAATATTACTCTGATTGAACACGCCATCCCTGGAATGGCAGATCCCAAGAGACAATTTGTTGCGTATCTTGTATTTTTAGCCTTGTTTGCCGGGGAAATGTGGAGCATGAGCTTTGAGAATAGACTGTTAACACCAGAGGCTGCTGTTTCTGCGGTTTCGGATACTCCTGCTGCTGCTCTTTCGAGGCAGATGGCTGGATTCATTTATAGAAAACAGATATTCGTTCTATTTTGCATTTCCACTTTGAGAAGAACTTTTAATTGTTTGTGCCACATTGCATCGTATGGCCTTATTGTGCACATACACATGCTGTGCGTAGATAATTTTCAGAATTAGGCGGATGTTAATGTGTTCCGTTTGTGCTGTTAGACATCCAAGCAGAACTCTGTTGTGCTTTAGGCATATTTCCTTTGAAAGTGG